AGCACTTTAATATGCATGACTGTATCCAAGAGATATTCCTACCATTTTTTTTCTAATATGTGGGCTTTTTAATCTGCTTAATTTAAGAGCATATTTTTCTCTTCAGGTTTGTAATAAATTATTAAATTTTTCTCTAATTTCTTTAATATCCATAACAGGTGCTCTCCAGTGTTTTGAATATATGTGGTTAATCATATTTATTCATATATTCTTTCGGAATTCGGAGCAAACAGTCTCAGAGTTTCACACATTAATTGAAGCGGAGCAGGAGACGACTTGCGGAATATTGATTTACAAGTGCTTGATTTCAACCATGCATTTAAATCCTCAGTTTTATTGTGTTAACACACACTTTATCCTTCTCCAGGTGTTTACGTCTGGTCTGTCTTTCCTCCTTGCTGTCTCTTTGAGTAAAGCTGGAATCAGTCAGCTTTGCACTGTGAGTGGACAGTGTTGTAATTAGCATATAAATGAACAGATCTAGAGACGAGGTGGCTTCCTCTTCACACATTCTAATGAGCTGAAGGAGAGAGGCATTAGGATGCTGATAATGTAGAGTGAATTGTCATGAATGTCAGGGGACAAAGCATAATACGAGAAAGAGTTTGTGTGTCGGGCATTGGAGGAGAAGCATCTGTCCGCAGACCTCCAGCCACAGGCCCGTCTCTTACAGCTCGAGCAGACAGAGCTTGTGACATTATCAGGGTCTGTCACAAAATGTGGAAGTTCACTTTAAAAGCTCCACAGTGAGCTAGCTAAAGCACGTTTATGGGTGGAACAGTGAACTTATCGTGAGTTTTTAATGACTTCAATATCAGTTGATTTATCAAAAGTATATTGCTGTTGTCGGACCAAAACCTTGTATCTCCAAAATGGTAACTTTACAGGAGAAGGAAAAAACATACTTTACTTTTAATGTAAGTCAATGAAACCAGACTTTTTTCTGAGTAATTTTGTGCCATTTCTACTGGTCCATTCATCATGAAATTTACACATAATGTAAAGGGCGACAGGCATTTTCAAATTATGTCAAAAACTCAAAAACAACAAAATAGAGATACAAGGTTTTTTTTCCAACAACAGTGATAAGTAAGCAACGAGATAGTAGTTAAAGTTTTCATTTAAAAAATTGAGAAAATATATGTTAACCTATTTACTCTGTTTCAGATGTACTAATGTTAGAATGCCTTTTAGAGTTGTTTAAGCCTACATTGGCAATTATTTACATGTTCCAAAAGTGTTTAAATAAACATTATTTACGTAAAACTCAAAGGATTGAATATCCTCTGCTAAAAGACATTTTTATTTTCATTTATTTTTTCTACATAAAGCATGAAAGTAGAAAATGCACAGTATTTAATAAGAAAATCTCTTCAGCGCAGCACACTATGGGCAGAAAACACCATTTGAACTTTTTTTAATGAAAAAGGCACCAATACAAAACACATCACATGTAGTAATCAGGGACAGACAAGATAATATAAAGTACATTTTAGAGAGGGCACATAAAGGCATCCAAGCACACACATTCAGTAGTTCCAACGAGCAACAAGCATATTAAATCATACAGTTTTAATAGCTTTAGTATTTAATAGCTTTAGGTCTAATTTTATCTAAATATCTCTGATTTCATTTTCAAAGATGGGGGGGGGAAAAAGGTTTTACTTTACTGATTTACTTACATTTATAAATAATTTATAATTTATATGTATTATAAATAAATGATTAATATTCATTTGAGCAGAAATACACACATGGTTACAGCTGTGTTCAGGTATAGCATTATGGATGCCAGTGTTCCTCTTATTCATTAGAGACCAACAGTGCTACTAATTTTAAGGAGCTTAAATTTCTGATAATTAATAATATTGGCTGATATAATTTTATATAAAATAGAATAGGCTTTAGTAGTTTTGGTTAAAAAGTGCTTTATTGATTGGTATGATGTTGAAGGTTTGGTTTGTTTTAAATGTTTTTGTTACTGGTGTCGCTTTCTGCTGGCCCCCTAGTGGCCATTTTGCAGGATTGAGACTGGATGTTTTTTAATTAATCAAATATATTTCTTCTCAGTTTTTCTGTTATCAGATTTACTAGGACATTGTTGTCTCTCTGTGTGTGAAATGTTTTAACTCAAATAAATTTCATTAACATTATTGAGTAATAGATGCATAGTGCAAAAACTAAGGGACCTCCAAAACAGGTGAACTGGATTTTATGGCTATTGTGAAAAAGGTGTTAACTATGACGATGCTTTGTGAAACTATTTCAGCCAGCATCTTTGTAATAAAAGGGAGCAGCTGGGGACCGTTAGCAGTCTCTGTAAAGTACATGAATTAGTTTTAAACACTGAGAGATTTGCGATTCTCCTAATATTGAATTTACACCAGATGGTCAAAAGTATGTGGACACCCCTCTTAATTGTTGAGTTCATGGGTTTTAGCTACACCTATTGCTAACAGGTGTATTAAATCAAGCACATCGCCATGCGATCTCCGTAGACAAACATTAGCAGTAGAATGGGTCGTGCTGAAGAGCTTGGTAACTTTAAAGGATGCCACCTTTGCCACAAGTCAGTATGTGAAATTTCTGCCCTGCTAGATCTTCCCTGGTCAAAACTGTAAATGCTAGTATTGTGAAATTAAAAAGTCTAGGAGCAACCACGAAGCGGTAGATCATGCACACTCACAGAGAAGGCCCACTGAGTGCTGAAATGCATAGCGTAAAAATCACCTATCCTCTGTAGAAATTGCCTGTCCTCTGGTGCAGCACTCACTACAGAGTTCCAGACTGCCTCTGAAAGTAACATCAGCAGCTCTTTTGACTGAATGGACACAAATGGTCACAGACGCACTCCAAAATCTACAAAAGACTGTAGGTCACAAGTGGTTGGAGGGGGAGTGGGTTGCTTGTATGTCCATGGTTTTGGAATCGGATGTCCAACAAGCTCATAGATGTGATGGCAAGGTGTCCACATACTTTTGGCCATGTCTAAATGTATCTGTTGTCTAAACAAGTACAAAAAGCGTTTTTGTAAATATCCGTATTTATTGGTGTTTTTTGCCAATACAGATAAATCCCATAATCGATATATGAGTCGGGTACTAGTTCTCGTTCATTCCAATGATGCATTCATTCACTCTCTCTCTCTCTCTCTTTTTCCTCTGTGTGACAGCAGATAGATATAATATGGGGAAACAGAATGTACCCACTACTCTTGAAGTGTTGCGTAGTGCTCCTCCCCTTTCAGAACAGGATTTGCAGATATGTGTTTTTATATCTCAGAGCAAGAAGAGATTACAGTGAGCGTGGGCATTCAGATGCTGCTCCCGCTGCTGCAATTCTTACTCTTAGCCCCTCTGATACACAAGGAAAGCCACTTAATTTCAGCCCATTTGTTATATAACTATGGTCTGCATATGTTCACTTAGATGAGCTTGTTTATATAATTCATCCTTTTATATCCCAGGAAGTATTTACATAACCTGACATAATGAATGAATACCATATAGATCTAAACTAATTTGAAGAGTGTTTTCTTTCTAAGCGATGTGCTCTTTTCTCTTCTTGATTGTACATGTCTTGAGCAATGGAAGTATTTTCTGTGCAGTATGTAAGTTGTTTTAGGTCAACTTATATGAGAACCGTGAGCCTAGCGTGACAGTGTCCTCCTTATCTGAGCTTTAGAGCAGCAATAGGCTTGAGATTTTGATTCAAACTTCAGTATAATAGCCAAAAAAAATCATTCTGAACCTGACCTAACACAACCCACAGGGCCAGTTTTGGATCCGAATGTGACAACAACCCATCATAAACAGAATAAAACTTCGGGAAACAAACCGTCAGTTTATGGATAAACAAATGTTAAAACAAAATGAATAATTATTATCAGCAAAATTTGTTTTTATTCTACTTTAATGAAGCTATTCATCAGTTAATATGACCAAAGAGCAAATTTTTTGTAGTTAAACTGTATATAATATGGCGTTCTCATGCTGACCTTGTGGACCTCTTCGCTAACAACATGAATGATACTAACATGCCAGTTTAATTGATGAAGGTTAATCTTATTGAAAAATGTCTGTAAAAGAATCATGCTTGATGCATATAAACTTTGCGTATATTATAGTTACATACTTATTTCAAGTTTTTGTTGGAAACAAAAGGGTTATCATCTTGAAATCAGGACTTTTTCCCCTGTGGTATGTAGGTAGATACAGCCAAGCTGGCTCTCCCATTGGTTTGGCCTTCAGGAATGGACAGAAGACCTTACACATTAGACTATTATTACACTAACCACCAACCAATTTTGTGAGGAAAAACGTCAATCTCTGCCGTCTGGAAGTCTTACATATGTCACTGACTGTGAATATGAGCTGCAGTCTAACCAGGTTTCAGTAAGAAATGAAAAAGAGTAGCAACAAGGCTTTTTTACTAAATGAATAATGGTAAAACATCAGTGTTAACTGATTAAAGTTAACATACTATTATATAACCCATAGGGGTGCTAGCAGAACTTAGCGGTATCTTAAAGGTGTTTTTGTCTTGTTTTTTGACTGAGGTTTGACATTTATGGCCTGACTCTCTCCCGATTTGCCACTGAAGGCAAGGACATTCAATTCTGTTTTTGGGGGGCCAAGATCCAGCATGGTTTGGTGATTTTCCTTCACAAACACATCCACTAAACCTGGCAGTGAACACGAGTTGAATCAGGTGTGTTCAAGCAGGGAAATCACCAAACTGTACTGGACACCTGCTGTTGTGGACTGTAATTTAAATACTCTTGGTTTAAAAAGTAAGGAGAAGAACTAAAACAAGGTTAAATGCAGGTCGAAGGACCGGGAGATGGACTATGGGAAACCTGAATATGAAATTTAAACCAGACTCGATCCCAGCAAATATTGAAGAAATGATATCTGAACCTGATGTGATTTGTTTGGTCTTGCCAGCTTTGGGCAAGTACTGTATTTTAATCTCTGTTCTAAACTCTCCTCTCCCCACAGGATGATCTCTACATGTTTGGTGGGAAGTTAGAGGGCAGCACTGATGATGTTACAGATGAACTATGGGTGTTCAACACAGCAAGCAGGTCCTGGACTCTCCGGACTCCTAGCCTTCTGGTGCAGGCCCAGCTCTTTGCTGTGGAAGGCCACACCGCTCACATAGTTGAGATGAGCCATGGAGAGCCTGTTATGTTAGTGCTGTTTGGATACTCTCCCATCTACAGCTACATCAGCCACATACAACAGTACAGCTTACGTAAGTGCATATTCTAATTAATATTCATTATTAATAATTAATATTATAAGTCTCCACGTAACAGTCTCATAGGCCACTACGCACGACAGCACTCACACATACAACAGACGGTTTAAAGGCTAAATCTGTAAACCTGTTATGTGTCAAACACTATAGTTGTATGCTAAACATAAAGAAGACCTTTCTGGGTAATAACAGGCACATACAGGAGTACAACTTGTGTAAGTACTGAATCTAAATGAATATTGTAATGCGTTTGTAAAATAAGGACGGAAATGGTTATGTGAAGTCATTGTGCCATCATATGGCTGGTACTGCATCTTCATTCAACTGGAATCAAGCATTCTGTGCATAAACATGACTCTACATGAACGTGTAACACAAATTCAACCACTATATTCTAAAAGTACAAGTGTTAGGATGAGACAGACGTGAGAGAATGTCTGAAAGTGAATAGGCAGTAATGTCCTCCCACACTGCTGCATTAGTTATGCATGACAACAGATTCAACCCTTTTTGACTGAAGAGTTCATTAAAGTTTTCTATAAAAATGTTTACTGACACAGTTCAGCAACAGCCCATTGCCTTCTGCTGTAAATATGTTTTGAGTTGGTTTGTGTTTTCTTCTATTTTAAGTACTGGGAAACACGTCAAAGGTATTGTCTGTGGTAACTGACAGTATTCTGCATATGCAGTAGACAGAGATCACTTTGTAAAGACTGGAATATTTCTTTGAATGTCGTCTGACACTTGTATGCTGTGCCACTAACCTCCAGCAGATGGCACTGTAGTATAGCATTAAGATAATTGCGTTCTTTTGGCTGTAACACAGAGCTTGGTGACTGATTTTTCTTTGGCCATTATGGAGAGATGCTCACTTTTTTACTCGCCCGTCTCTGCTCTCCTAGTGACGGACCCATGCGCGCACACACTTTTTCTGACACTTAAAACACACCGTATTGGGACTAAGAGTATGATTAATGTGTCTGCACTCTCCACTTGGCTCTCTCTCTCTTTAACTATATCTCTCTGTTCTGTTCATCTGTCTCTCTCTCTGCCTCTCTTGCTCCTTTATCTCTCTCTCACACTCCTTTTCTCCTGTTCTATGCATTAAAAGTTTTAAGAATGATTGTAGATGCTCTAACCGTCATTCAGTTTTGCCACAAAACCACTCCAAATTCTGTGCTATATGTAAAATTATGAATATGTAATGCGAACAGTGGCTTGGCCGTGTTTCACTGACGTAACAAAATAGGCATGTTGTGAAGGAGACGAGCCAGCTGACCTTTTTCCATTTGCATCTCTCTCTTTCTCTCGCTCTCTTTTGGGCTCTCTGTCTCTCTCTGTCTCTCTCCATCTGTGAAAAGGACGGTGTAGGTCTCTGCCATGTCCATGTCCTTCCTCTATCTGACAACTCACCTGACTGAGATAGGACATTGTCTCTCTCTTGCTTGCACTTCAACCCTTAGAGGTCCAGAAGTATGACTGTCATATTGCTATATGATTAAAAATGTAATTATACAATTCCATAATTATTTACACAGTTATCTACTTAAGGAATTACATTCAGTTTACATTCTGTATCAACAGGTTAGAGGCAGCACTTTTGTTTTTTTTCCAAAAGTCCCATTCAGTTAATGAGAAACTGTAGCGCGCAACTCACTTTATGCCAAAACTCATAATTTAGAGAGTGTTATTAATTTGAAATGATGTTAGGATAGATATTATTTTGGTAAAACTTTATTTGGATAGTTCACTTTAGATGCTTTGTAGATACTTGATTTACTTTCAAGTTACATTTAACTAAGAAAACTACGAAACTGACCATAATTTTCTCTAAACCTTTAACTCTAACCCTGGTGCAAATCCGAACCCCAACCCCACCACTGTTTAGAATCAGTTTCAACAGATATTTTCTTGACAATTTGAACATCTGTAGAAAAACTATAGGGGACTGTAGTGGACTATCCAAATAAAGTGAGACTACGATTTTTGTTGAGTTAAGTGAACATTTGCAACTGCAAAGAAAATGATTTTAAAAAGTGAAATGTGCAAATTGAAGCACATGTAGTATGAATGTATTTAGCATCCTATTAACGATAAGGAACATTCTCAGTATATATTTAACCATTTAGAAGTGTATTAAAATAATTAATCACAGTTAATCCATTTGTCTTATTTAGACGCTTTGTAGATTCTTAATTTACTTTCAAGTTACATTTAACTAAATATATATTAAATTGGCCATAATTTTCTTTAACTCTAAACCTGACTCTGATCATAACCTTAACCCAAAACCTAAACCCGACCCTCACCCTGGTCCTAGCCCCATATCGCGGGTCCAAATCCTGACCCTAGCCCCACCACTGTTTAGAATCAGCTGAGTTTCAACAGATAGTTTGTTAACAATTTGAACATCGGTAGAGAAACTATAGGGGACTATAGTGGACAATCCAAATGTCCAAAGTGAAACCATGATTTTTGTTGAGTTGAGTGAACATTAGCATGGTCACATATTCTATGTTGCGAGGTTAATGATGCATAACTCTGTTAATTATATTATTTTATGTAGTTAATCATGATTAATCACATTTGACCCTAATTTTGTTTGCTAAAATTTGACCCTAAATTTTTTTTCCATTTAAAAAGCAGTGCATTTTTTATAACTATAGGAGTGGACAAAATAAGCTTCATCAGGTCCCACTGTTTTTGTTGAGTTATAAAGCTATTAGTATGGTGGCAAATTCTCTGTTGTTGTTTTCAATCTGCCTTGTTTGGATTACCAACAACAACAAAGTGCTGCTCTTTAACATAGCACATGAAACTGAAAACTCAATGCTATTTAGAGACTGTAGACAACCACTCTACAATTCCTACAGTTTCATTAGGTTGAATGATGTGTTGTTTGTCCAAACTCTAAACACATGCAAAGGACAAATGCATTTGTGGGCAGAGCATGGATAATCCAACATCAGATTAAAGATCATATTCATTATTGTTGTAACAGTGACTATTAAGGATTAAAAACATTCACCATTTCATTCAAGCCACTCGCACCTAGTCTTTTTTTTGTCAGTGTGCTTTCATAACTTATGCGTGTGTGTATGACAAGTCTGTGTTTCTTGCCGTCCTAGGCACTAACTCATGGCTGCTTGTGGAGACTCGAGGAGCGCGAGTACAGGGAAGCTATGGGCACAGCAGTGTGTATGATGACTCCTCTCACTCCATATACGTCCATGGAGGATACAAAGCTCCGTCTTCCAACAAATATGGCCTTGTGGACCACCTCTACCGCTACCATGTCCATACACGCACATGGTGAGTCGGAGTGGGCTTTAATTAGAAACTCTGGGTTTTGTTTGTGTGTGTTTGTGTCCTTATTTTACGTTAAGGAGTGATTGACCACATAACCTGGACTGATGTTGTCGATGCACTGTGCGGGTGAGATTTTGTATTGAAATCTTTACTCACTGGGCTTTGGCGCTGAATAAACCAAGGGTGGCTAGTCCAGTCATTTCTGCCTGTGGTTCACTGAAGTCAAATTTGGAGACTCTTCTGTCTCCCCATACAGATCCCATGGGCCACTGCACACATGGCAGCACTCACACGTACACAGAAGCACAAACGCAGACAGACACACTTTGTCAGAAGTACTTTGTCAGTAGGGCTAGAGCAGTGTTTCTGACATGGTTAATCCCTCACAGGTGTTCCTACCTGACAAACAGCCCACTTTCTTGACCCTTAACTGAGCACACTGCCTACACACCATTCCATCAGATGGAAAACGCTGCTTTCTTACATGGCAGCTGCAAAGAAAATGATTTTAAAAAGTGCTTCTGAAAATTGAAGCACGTGTAGTATGAATGTATTTATCATACTATTAATAATAAGGAACATTTTCTGTATATGTGTAACCACTTATGTATTAAAATAATTAATCACAGTTAATCTGTTTGTCTTATGTGCCCAAAGTGAACTCTTCAGAAACTTTTTGTCAATTAAAAGCAATGATTTTATTATAACTATATGAGTGGTCAAAATAGCCTAAAAATCAGGGTGTATTTGTCAGTGTTAATAATTCTGTAACTTTTAAATCATGTAAATGCAGTGTCTACATGTACCTATATATAGAAATAAAATCATATGTTTTTCATAAAGTGAGCTGGGAGGGCGCAATATATCGATATCTTTATCATGATAAATTCCATCATATTACATCACGGTATGCTTTTCTGAGCGTACTGTGGATTGGTACTAAAGGGCCACTGACAACATGCATGTTGTATTGCAAAGAGAGCAAAATTAGTCCTATTCCATTGGATTTAGGGCGGTACATTATATAGAAATATTGAATAAAAAAATCATGTTCGCATTTAGCTTTTGATGGTATTTTTAAAATGTGGCACTACTGGTTCATTTTTGTCTGTCCCAGCTCAGAAAGAATGAAATCTTATGATGCGTATTGTGTATTGCGAAAATGTCTTTTCATAGTTTTCATCACCAGCGTCCAGAAAGAAACAGTGGCCGCATGCTCCAATCAATAAGTATAAACATATACCATATACACAGTCAGTGGTTCCAACTCCTCCGCAGTTGTAGCCTCTCAATCTTACTCTTGTTCATACAGCTTGTGGCTTCTTGAAAATTGTTATAGTTTTTAATCAGTCAGCTGTAAGTGTGGGAATCACTGGAAACCCCATGATAGAATATTTTCTTGATATTTGAGCCATGGATATAACCATCAGCCCATATGTGCAGGAAGGCAGGAAAGACACTGCTATGCCAACAAGAGTGCTTGGACTGGACTCGCTCTACTGGCTTTTTGAAAATTGCTTTGTTTACAGTTCCATGTTACTTCAAAAAATTTTTAGTGAAATAAATTTTTAATTTCTTAAGAACAACAAAATTTCTATTCTCGGGACATAACTTTCAGTCAAAAGATTGTGATGCAGTTTTTCTAAAAGAGTTGTGGAATGCTAAGTATGTTTGACTGGAAGCACTGTTGTTGTGTTGGCATAGCAGTGTCCTTCCTGCCTTCTGTACATATGGGCTGATGGTGTTATCTACTACACTGTCCTCCTATTTGTTGACCAGTGGCTTAATACACCTTAGTACACCAGTATTAATAATCAAGCAATAAAGCGTAGATACCGCGGCCTCCATTACCAATGACGTTTTTCCCTGTCACATTTCTCTCCCACCTGCAGTCTGCTGGACAGAGTTGCACCAGTTTTGCATTAATAATATGTCCTTTATTAACATTTGTCCATAGTTAACCTTAGACAACCTGGTTAGATTCAGATTATCCTTTTACTAAATTGGATTGCACCACCGATCCATATGTAATGTCTTAACTAGTCATAACTAATGAATTTTAATATGATGATGACAAGTTCAGAATCAGTCAATAGACACTGCTGTGAAAACAAGGATGGCAGCTTGTGCTGGATTTTTTTGCATTCCAGTTTAAACGAGAAAAATAAGTTTTATGAACTAAATAAACCTCAAAACCTATAGCCAGTTTATTTCCTGTTTGTTTTTATATTTCCTCAGGACACCTGAATGTGTCAAACCGACACAACAGCAGCATCAATCTAACAGTAACGTTATCAGCATCTGCCAAGTCTGCTGAGTGAGAGCTGGAGCTGTGGATGTTAGCTATTGTCTCACTGAACTTTACAGAATGCCAGCTCCTGCTATAGAGAGTCCTTTTCACATGAGTGCATTAAGTAAATGTCTGTCGGCCAGCAGCTGTAGTCTTTGCAGTCTGTTACAGCGCTACACAGTTTGCAATTAGCAATAAAAATTAGTCTTGTTAGGTTGGGTCAGTTTTTGTCTCATTGTGTGATCTATGTGGTTTCCATTGGCTTCCCCAACACTTACATCTGCTTAAGGTGAACTGTAAATATTTAGCAGGCAACTCAGTGCAAAAACTAGTTTGTTTGGTTTTGATTTAGTAGTGTGTAAACCTGGAGTCATCTTACAGAAACATCCTATCTTTTTGTCTTAAGATTTAACGGCGAATTGGTATTACAGAAGCAAATCTCATCTTGACTTAGGAATCTTATCTTGTTTTACAGCGTCTTATCTCATCTCAAGTTAGGAAATCTTAACTTACTCAACTTGAAGACGATAATCAGCTGGCATGTCTGTTACCTCAGCAACCGAACATACGCACACAATTGAAACCTAAACATGTAATCACAGTAATTAAGCTAGTTCGCCAGGCAGCTACCTACCATTACTGATGTACGAAAAAGGTCAAACAAAACTAAAGCGTGATAAAAATGTTAAGAATATCGTGTCAGTGCTTCGTCCTGTTTATCAGAGCGTTTCCGCTGTACGGTTTCAGTTTCACTTCCCAAAACGCTTTAGCCGACCGTGCCAACGTTATTCCTCCTAATAAACAGACACACATTCAGCTCTGTCTCCTCATTGTTCAGCATCATCACTGTAGTATTTTATCTGACGAGTTTTCATCAACATTAACACACGAAGGTAATAAGAGGGGACGGTGGAGATCAGGTCTGCAGCATCTGGGCTTTTAAAACGCTGTTAGAGAAAAAAACTCACAAAGTCGAAGCACAGTTTTTTAGTGTGGTTATGTATGTAACATCATTATGCCAGTTATAGTGAACTTTGCTGCCGGTCACTGCATTAAACCATAGAATCAGATTGTTAAAAGAAAATTAGACGCCTCTGGGGTTGTTTAGGACAGAATTTAGGACATTTTGTGTAGTTAGGATGTTTCTATAATAGTATTTTTCTATATGAAGTTAGGATAAGATTATGAACTTAAGAACTGTTGTTCTGTAATAGCGTCTGTCCTATTCAGTCTAGAGCTGAAAGATTAATCATTTTTAGATTGAAATCGCAATCTAAGGATGTGCAATTTTCAAATCGCAAGAGGGTTCGTCATCAAAAATGCTGTCCTAAGTTTTAAGAGGGAAAATTTAACCAAATAACGTAGAATTTGAGAACTGTCTACATAAGGCAGACCAATCAGAGGGAACCGAACCTCCATGTTTTGCAGGGCCTCCATTGTGGAGTGTAAGAATTTTACTGCTGAGCTACCAGTGCTTGGTTCAGAATTTAGGTCGATTACCACAGACAGTAATTTCATGCTCACAAAAGAACAGAAAATGCTGTAGCCCCATGCTTGTTTACTACAGTTGTGAGTTTTGAGTTGATGTCTTTCTGTTCTTTTCTCGGTTTAGGCAGAAAGTTGTCCTTGATAATCGACTGTATGTTATGGATATGGCAGATAGAGATCACATTGAAAAATGCTGAGGTATTTGTGATTTTAGTTTTAGTTTTATGACATCGGGTTGCATAGTTTTAGTGGCATCATGTGTCACTAAAATCCACTTCTCATAAAAATCTGTCATACCATTTCTCTGCTTTGCTCTCCCTTTGTATCTCTCTCCATCCCTTTCTTTTGTTTGTCTCCCTTTTCTGGCTCTGTTTTTCTTTTTATCTGCCTTGCTGTCTCTCTCACATACCCTCACACACTCGAGTCGTGTAGTTGACGATGCTTCAGCTTTGCACTTAAAGGCTTTTGTACAAGTTGAAAACCCTGCTCTCAACCCTGGCAGCCTTCATTGGCTTTGTGTTGTGTCTAAAAGGGCTCCTAGCCACTAAAAGCCCCCTCAACCTTTTGAGCGGAGAGAAAACTACATTGCGTATTTAAAACCTGGCTGTGTGTTCTTGCCTTTCTGCCTGTCACCGCTTGATTGGCAGCTTGTGAGCAGAGAGCTCGCTCCGTACATCATACCCTGCTGGGCTCAGGGATTGTGAAGCACTGTGGAGATATATGCAGAGCTTTAAAAAGTGCTGCTACTTGTCTAGCTGAGAGAGCATTTTCTCACACACAGGTCGAACCAGATGGTGATAAGCACTCAGATTAAAGGAGGAAATGTGTCAAGTGCATAGATTACAGCCTTTTAAATGTCTTGTTTCAACTTCCTGCTAAATTGCCTACTTGCCTACTACACACAGTATAGTGTGTGCTAACCGTTATTGTGATATTTGTGTTTGCAGTCAGTGAGGGCCACAGTATTTAAATGAACCTTCTACCCAGTGACAGAAATGTTTATTTTAAGCATCCTGACTAGAGATGAGATGCGATTTTCCTCTCTTGGTACTTCTGTGGTTGAACTGAGAATATCGTCTGACACCAAGTTCCAGTGCTCTGTTAAGACACTTGGGCTTAGTGACATTATAAACAGTGAGTTTGTTGTTATACTAGGCTTGTGCCGATAACAGAATTCACTTATTCGGGTAACCGTGTGGTAAAGAACCACAGTAAATGGGTAAA